GATCATGAGCTGTGGGCGGCGTCAGCACGTGTACGCCCTCACCTGATCCCTGCATCCGGGGCGAGGACAAGGAACAACCATAAACGTACCTGCTTGATGGCGTAGATGGGGTGGATGTTGTCCATGGTCTGGATGGCGATGCGCCGTACCTCCTTGAGGCCCTTGTACGGCCCCATGGCCGACACGGTGTTGCCGTGCACGAGGATGTACGTCTCGGTGAGCAGCTCCAACGCCTTCAGCGTCGAGCCGTTGGGTCCGAGAAGCCTCTGCCGGCGCTTGACGAACCTGTCCTTGTTGCCGACCAGGTTTCGGATCTTGATGATGTCGCATGCCACTCCGTCCTCGAGAATCTTGACGGCCTGCGGCGCAGGAACGCTTCGGGCGAGGAGCTTGATGAGATCGCGGGCGTTGAGCACGGCAGCGGGGTCATATGTCTTTCGCGCTGGCAAGGGGGACATGTCAGCGAGGGCACTTTACATACATACAGGGGGGGGGTATAGGCCAGGTCTCGTGGCGTCTGGAGATTTCGTTTGTACGTACTGGTCTTGACAGTCATGGAGCCCTCAATCAAGTCGAGACTGCAGGCGATGCCATACTTCTCTAGCGACTTGGTGACGAGTGGCCATGCTTCCTTCAGGTATACTTCGCGGTATTTGGGGAAGAGGACGGAGAAGCTGGACTCTTCGACGAAGGAGCCGCCGACATTGTCTGTCGGCTTGAAGGTCTCGACCTTCCACTTGTCGATGTCTTCCGTGTCCCACGGCTTGTCCTTTTCGTGTGACGGCATTTCGATAGTCGCAGAAGGAATCGATGCGTGTTCCTCGGCTTGTGGTACTGAAGTGATCCGCCTGTCGTGATTTCGTACGGCGGTTTTCGTAGAAAGCGGGAAGATAGCAGAAGTTCTGGGTTGGATTTGACAAAAGTCCCAGCAAGCGCGCGGGCCAACTTTTTTTCTCGGTGAGGAGCACAAGCAGCCACACCGAGCGTGGGGCATTCGGAGGCTGAACATTTGTTATCTTATCGTCAGGCCGGGCACGCTAAAAACCCATGAGCCAATGATCAGCCGTCCATTGGCTTGCACGTTTGGCGCGTCTGGTGTTCTTGCTGAGGTACTCCTTTCTCACCCAAATCCCCCCCACCCCCCTCGAGTCCCACAGTGTCGTAGTTGCCCGAGTCGCGAAAGGGAACTGGGACCGAGACCCAAACTCATCATCGGTCGCGTCGCTACAAGTTCAGCCAAACTCTTCACTCCCATATCCAACCTTGACGCGACCTTTTCAGCAACGCCATCCCGCCCGAGTACATCGCGACGCCTCGCTCATTGTCAGACTCTCGTCTTCTCACATGTTTCTTTCTCGTCTGTAGGACGCGACGCTCCCTGCCGGCCGCCACGTCGAGTACCATCGACATTTCTCCTTATCGTGTCGCAATCACTGCAATCAGATTGAACGCCTCCCCCGATAAAGCTCATCCAGCTCCACGGCCCATTCCCCCATCGCGTCTCCGTCTCCCATCATGGACGACGAGATCAGCATGTACCCGCCTCTCGGCGGCCCGGAGCCTGAGCCCGTGTCGCGCCCAGATTCGACCTCTTCACTGGCCTCCCTGGCCCATCTATCGAGCATTTCCGCTCTCGCCACCGCCGATGGTGTTGCACCGCTGGATGGTTCACCCCAAGCCAGGTATGTGTGTCTGTCGCATTGCGATGACAGGTTTCTTATTCTTTATCATTTTATGCCACCAGCCTTTGTACTTTGACACACACACCCCCCCTTCTTGAGGCTGATCATCTCGTCAGCGCTGAGCACCTCACTCAACCGCCACACAACATGCAGCAACATGAGCAACACGAGCAGCAGCAGCAGCAGCAGCAACAACCACAACAGCAACCGCCACAACAGCAACCGCCACAACAGCAACTCCAACATCAGCAGGATCAACAGCAAGTCCAACAGCAGCAGCAGCAACATCAACAGCAACAGCAACAGCCGCTGCCACATCAGCAATTGGATCAGGGCTTCTCTCACGCCGCCCCTGCTTCACATCCCATTCAGTCCCCTGCTGTTCGGGCCAAGAATGATGCCGGCCTGGTGAGCTCGTCTCTTCTCCTTGTTGTACTCCCAATTCCCAATCCTTCTCATCCCATTGGCATTCGTACTGGACATTTTTTTTTTTCCTTTCCTCCTGAATCAAATGCACCCCCAACTTTCCTAACCAAAAGGATGACCTAATCCCTTCCGTTGTACTCATTGCTTGTACGTACCACGCATGGTCCACCCTTATCAGGCACTAGTGCTCCTTTTGGGAAGGCGCCTCCAAGTCGAGCACACCCCACACTAATCTATCGCCTGGCCCCATCCCAAATCATGATTCTTGAGATAAGATTTTCTCTCCTTATCAGGTTGCGCTCCCAGTCCAAGATCACGACCATCAGTACCGTCTCTGTCCACTGTCGCGAACGTTTTTGTCCTTCTCACAGCACTTGAATCGCCGACATGATGGCAACACCTGCTAACCACGACCGTGAGTCGACAAAGCCCGTGTGCTTCAACTGCGAAACCTCCACCACACCCTTGTGGCGTCGCGACGATGAGGGCAAGGTTCTGTGCAACGCCTGCGGTCTCTTCCTGAAGCTGCATGGTCGCGCGCGACCCATTTCCCTGAAGACCGATGTCATCAAGAGTCGCAACCGAGTCAAGACAATGCGCCCTGATCTCGCGACAAAAAAGAAGGTATGGACAGTGCTCAGACCCCAGCTAGCCATGCCCCCTCCCTTTGACCCCTTAACATCCCGCTGATTCCTTCGCGTAGCAGCAGCAGCAAGCCCAGCAACAGGCGCAACATCATGCCTACCTTGGCGGCGATCACAACGGTTTCGACATGAACTCACAAACTGGAGGCATCAACTCTGCGGGCCCCCGGCAGGCACACAAGAACGGCGACGGCCACTCCCCCGGCTCGCGCGGCGATACGCCGCTGTACAACCCGGCTGCCATGCCCGTATTCCATGGCTTCGACGAGGCGCAGCTGCAGTCGACCGCTCTCTCTGGCTTCAACATGTCCGGCACGCCGCCCAATCGCACCGGTTCGCCCCTTAACGGAGACCGCCCGATCGATGCCCCTCAGACACACGAGCAATTGATTGCTGCCAATTCAGCGCTCAGCACCAGGGTGCGCGAGCTAGAGCTCATCAATGAGCTTTTCCGCGGACGACTGGGGCAGCTTGAACAAGACGAGGCGACTGCCAGACGTGGGCAGGAAATCAGTGGCCAGGCAGAGACACAGCTGCGTGGCCAGCTGGAAGAAAGCCATCGCCGAGAAAACAGTCTCAAACACCGTCTCGACGTGCTGGAACAGGAGCTTGCCAACATTAAGACCGGCATCGTTGACGCCAACCCCGACGACGAGCTCGTCCACAAGAAGCCACGCCTCTCGGAGCCTGTGGAGCAGGCCGACGAGCCAGAAGCCAGATTCGATATCCCCGATGGCATGACAACTGATGAGCCAGTCATGCAAACTGATTCTGCCGATGTGGACGACTCTGCCGCTGCTGACGTTGCTGCTGCCGCCGATTTGGCCGACGCCGAAGAGGCTGCAGCAGCCGCAGCCGCGGCCGCGGCCGTAGCCGTTGTCGCTAAGTCCGAGCCTGTTGCAGAGGTGGCACCTGCTGAACCTGTCGTTGACGAGCCCGCAACCGCCACTGCATAACACCGTCTCTGGGACGGCCGACCAGGCGTGCCTTGACACCATCTCGAGCGCTACTATGGCCAGCTGCTGCTAAATCGCGGAAGAAGCTGCGGATTGGCAGTATTACGAATGACCTGTAACATCACCGTGGTTCCGTTACCAATTGGTTGTCGGCATCATTTTTGCTTTTCCATTTTTAATTTCACGCAGGGAAGGAGATGAGGTGTTCTGAAGACGGCGTTGCGGTCTCCGTGGGCGTGTAGGAGGCCCGTAATGTAGGGAAGCTGGGCGCATTCCCCGCCAGAGTCGTTTGAGTTGATTACTCAAAAAACAAGCAGCACATGCGTTTGGAGAAAGATTCACGGAAACCGACTGAAGCTACGATCTGGCATGACAAAAGGGGCGGACCGAAGGCAGGATCACGGAGCTTTTTCATTTTTTTTATTTGCCTGCCGGAGTAGGTGGGAAACGCGAGACCATACCCCCATGTCCCTGTTAGCGAGGGATACCCCAAAAGTTGATTATTCTTCGTAACATGCGCGCGAAAAGCACGCCTTCCTGATGCGCATGTTTATTGGATGGTGTGAGTAGGTGATGCCGACGGGCTGTGGTCTCCATGGGGCTGGATGCTTTTCAGTCTACATTCTGGTCCTCGGCAACCGGCGGCATTGCCACCGTTGAGTGCCATACTTTTGGTGGTGCAGCGAGTAAGCGGTAGAGATTAAGTCGCATGCTTTCGCCGAATCCCGCGGGTCGCATCCGAGTGAACTGATAAGAGAACCCGCATTTTAGCTCTTCACGGTACCAAACCGGGCTGTTGCAAGCAATCGCTGAGAACGGCGGGCGCTGCACCGCCGGATGCTGTCCGCAGAGAAGCGTATTACACCAAGTCACTCAGAGAGAGGGGGGGGGGGGACAACAACAGCAAACAAATCCTGGTTGGCAATGAATGGTGTGGCGTGTTGATTTTCCCCGGTTTGAACGTCAGAGAGGGACAAGTCGCATTCACATGTCGATCGGACGAGGGTGCCCCAAGAATCCAAATCTGGGGACCCTGGCGCGCGACCTGTACAAGTACTTCATTCAGTACAGGGGGGAAGGTGACAACCCGATGCTCGCTCCCGCATCGTGCCAGGCGAAGCTCGGGGTCCCGACCCCTTCCAAAAACCCTTTTTCACAGGTGAGATCAGGTAAACAGTATCCGAATCTCCAATGGCCGTGGACCAACTAGCTTCGCACATCCGCGGCCTGAAGGATGTGAGGGAGGGATTTGTCGGAATGCAGGGTAGCGCCACCCCATCCATCCATCCGATCGCGAATCGGGGGCAAGCCGTGGTCTATTGTCCTTAGTGTCCCATGGATTGAGGGCCTCAACGCCCGACAAGCGTCGAAGGGATATAGACCACCGCATTCCAACACGGTCGAACGCAGTCATCGCGGGTGAGACATGAAAGCTCGCCCACACCTATCGACGCGCACGACATCCCAAAAAGCTTGGCTAGCCCCCCCCGCGCGATCGACGTGCTATGCCCCTAGGCCGGGACGAAACTTATCAACAAGCTTACCGAATTCGTTGGGGAAGGCCACTCGTCGCAAGGGACCAAGGAAGTTTTCGCATTGGACTTTCTTCACCTGTCGTTCCCTGTAGCACAAACAAATCTGATGAGTTGGGGTGTTCTTCATTCGTTCTTATTACCACGCTCATCTGAGAGATCCTGTTCATCATGTCGCCACACGCAAGTCGGGAATACATCCCCCTCATCTCTTCGCCCTTGAACCCGAAGCAACCATACACAGTGCCGGCGCATGCGCCGTCAACGCCAGGAAAGCGACGCTCGAGCCAGATGCGCGGCGATCTCAGCCCTACGGAGCGCTTACTGCGGTCAAAGGCTGCATTGGCGTGGAAGTCGACCCAGGACGGCGACGGTGCTGGGTCCCGCAGAGAGAAAGCGCGACCGCGGGTCGAATACGGGCGTGCGGGAACAGTATCCAAAGCGCCGATACGAAAATACCCGGCGCATTGGGACGAAGACAATGACGACGTGGACGCGTTTTACAGCGACGCCGGCGAGTACGACTATGGCGACGACAGCGGCGAGACCAAGGCGTGGGCGGACGGCATAACGGCGATGCGGTCGCGGCTCCTACGCGACACGGCGCGAAGGGCGTTGCTCATGTTCGGCCTCACATGCCTCGGCGGTTGCCTCCCGATTTTTGCGCTTCTGTCATCGGCAAGTTCACCAGGCGGGGTGTGGTCTCTTGGAAAGTCGAGCACCCAGGCAGCGAGCGCATAGCCGTATACCAGGGTCTGTGACGGAAGGAAATGCCACAGAGTGACACGGCGGACGACGCGGCGCAATCGTGTATGTGAAAGGGGGAGAGGAGAGTGGATTCGACCTCGGGATCTCCAACGTATGCTTCGCCATCATCCTTCTATATCCTCTCTGTACACTTGTGTACTCAAACCATCTATCGAAACACTCGACGCAAGCAGCGGCTACTGTATGCTGTCGGAAAGCAGTGCACCTGCCTTTTCTCACTTCTTCTTCTCTTTTTTTGTCTGGGTTGTTTTGGAGTTTTCATTCCGGGTTGGCGTTTGGCCGGGGGCGTTTTGTTTTTGCGCCTCTTGTTCTGCCTTTTTGGCGCGTTCGATCTGCCAAATAGCCCTCTCCATCTCAACCTCAAGCTCGGGGAGATCCAGAACATCGACTATCTTCTTGCCGTCCTTTTGCGAGAGGATGACCTTCTCGCCGGCCACCTCGTTGGATTCGCCGACTTTGTCGCCGTTGGCTGCTTTAGACGGCTTGATTGGCGCAGCTGGGAGTAATGGGGTGTATACTTGATCCAGCTTTTTGGACGGTGACAGATCTAGGAGTTTGTTCTTGACGAGGAATCTGAGATGATTGCTGCCGGCGAGGGCGCGCCAGTGTGACCAGGCGCGATACACCAGATAGAAGAAGGGCAGGTTGGGAATCCTGTAAGCAGGCGTATGGTCAGCGACACAACTCGTCCATGAATGAATTGAACATTGGGTAAACGAGTAGCACCTACACTGGTACCAGTGCAAAAGGCGCGCTGATGGGCATGCCAATGATACACCAGATCAGTCGTCTCCTGTGCAGGCTGTCGCGCTCTGTAGCGAGCGAGGATAGAATGCTCTCGACCCTGTCCTTAGGGATGACAGACTGCGGATAGATCAGCTCAATCTTCCTCTTCCCCTCCAGCTCCTTGTCCTTCTTCCGGGTAGTCAGGGAAGGCACTGATTTCAGACCCCATTCTTCGTAAGGTATCCTCTTGAGGGCCATATTTCCGTAGTCGACGACCTTTCGCTGCCAGCCCGAGTCCTTTTTCTCCCAACCTGCCCATAGCTTGGCTGCGCGCACTGTCAATTTGTCGACGAGATTCGGCTTGTCGGTCGTTGTGACATGGAGTCGCTGGCAGTAGAGCAGAGTGCGACTCTTGGTGATGGGTAGGAGGAAGAGGCGCATCGCGAGGAGGGGGCCGACATCCAGCCACGAGGTGAGACGGGACAATGCCGCACAAAGGCGTCGACGATTCGCGCAAAGAGGGAGGGGAGGACGTGGGAAGAGACGTCTTTGGTTGGGCAGAACCGTACTGGCGACGCAGAGGAGAGCGTGTCGAGTTGGTTTTGTTCTTGGCCAGGTGAAGTTCGGGATCCAAATTGTCGGGAACTGGGCCAAGAATGGTCAGGCAAACGGAGCTAAGCTTTCAAGCTTTCGAGCTTTTGCATCCCGACCAAGCGGTGACGCACATGGGCCGACGGGAGGCGAATGTGACTGGCCCAGGGAGGATGCCAATCATTTAGTGCGGGACTTGGAGGCCCCCCGGCCGAGGTGCATATCACAGGGCAGATCAAGATCAGTCCCATCTGGGATAAAGCTCCTGGAAAATTCCAAGCCCCCCAGGCGTCGTCCAGCTGATGGCGAATAGAGGCGCAGGCCTGTTGGGAGGCCGCTGGGGAGGCGATTCTGACGACGCCAACCAGGTGTCTCTGCGCATAGACCTCAACAGACAACGGAGGATGCTATCCAGGGTTGAGCCGGAGACCCAGCGACCTGCGGTACCTACCTAGGTAGATACATACCTACCTAGGTAGGCCAGCCAGCTGCGGCTGTGTCACTGTAGGAGGGCTCTGGATCACCGCGCTCACCTAACCGGACGCTGTGCTGGCATGCGCCATTAGAGCCCTTCGCATCTGGCTTCCCGCACCTCTAATTGTTAGTCCCCGCCATGGTGGAGGCGCTGGCGGATTAGCGACGAGGCTGCTGGGGGAAAATGCGACAACGGGATGTTACAGGCGTCGCCCACCCCCCTTGCCCCCCTTGTCACCTCCCTTCAAGTGCCCTTCGGACGGTATTGCCAGTGGCTGTGGCCCCATCACATCGCATGACAGTGGAGGCCTGTCTGCACCTCAGCGCCTGCTCCTACCACACCCGCGGCTCCCGACCAACTTAGCGACGCGACCCGTTCCTGACCCGTGGGCACCGCGGGTTTCTCCTGGGACTCTAGCTTCGTCAACTGGCGCTGTTAGTCGGGCGCCATTCTCTCCTTTGATCCCCCATTTTCTTACCTGCATCTCTGGATAGCCTCGTTGATCAGCGACCGGCAGATCTTGCAACAGAGCTTAATTCTCTTCTTCGTATTTTCTTCTTCGCCTTCTTTTTTGCGCTGCCAACCCTCGTCCAGCCTTGACGTTCCGTTTTGTCCTGCCGCCCAACCCGACCGACACTCCTCTCCTTCTATTGCGTCACTTGGCTATTTCGACCTTCCCAATGCACAGCCCGGAATATGCTGCGTAGTTCCCAGTCACCGTTGCTTCATACTCCACAGTCTTGACAAAAGACAACACTAGCCGCGTGGCGATGGACTCATCGTCAGCCACCGCTGCTGGCCCTTCTAGCTCACCCGACTTTCGCGCTGTGTCTGTTGGGACCAGCAATGCCACGCTCAACCATTCTCAAGCCGCTCGACAACGCCCGCCCCGATCCCTTCCTCGTGAGTAGAGAGGCAGCCCATGGACGGTCTATGACGCGCTTCCTTTTTTACTGACATGGTCTCCAGCCTGGATCGACTCATACGAATCCGAAAATGGACCCTTGACCGATGACCAGATGCGGCTCCTCCGGCCGCCGCAGCGATCCGTTCTACCTCAACATAATTACGACCCAAGCGAAACAGAGCGCAGGATATCCAAAGATGGCTTCGTCGACTGGGCGCAAGACCCTCTATCTCTACAGCGCAGCCCCCCAAACAGGCGGCTGACGGTTCAGAAGCTGCTCAGGGGTCGCAGAGGTCAACAGGGCAGGAAGTGGGATCATCTGCGCTCTGCTGAACCTGTCGTCGTAGCTGCCTATGCGCCGCCAGCACCGGGAAACACAGGTGGTGCAGCCGCTGTCTGGAGACACTACGTCCAGTCTACAGTATACGGGCGTGCCCAGGGAGAGGACTCTGAGGTTGTCGATCCGGAAATGCTGGATAAGCTGCAGCCTGACTTCAACCGGCCGTTTGACAACCCCCTTCACCCACACGAAAGCCGGTCCTCGAGAAGGAGGAAACGCACGCGAACGGTGGGCGAAAGAATCTGGCGGGCGATTCTACGTCATCCTCTGGTGCCGCTCGTGTTTCGACTGACGGTCATGATTACTTCGTTAATGTCGCTGGCCATTGCCACGCGAATCTTCGTTCACGAGAACGCGCAGGACAGAAGCAGTGCGGAGCGGACGCAGAGCGTCGTCGCCGTCGTCGTGGATACCGTTGCAGTTCCATACATCGCTTACATGCTGTGGGATGAGTACACGGGCAAGCCACTCGGTCTTCGACCCGCTACGCAAAAGATTGCCTTGATCTTACTGGATCTCTTCTTCATCATACTCAAATCAGTGAGCACGGCACTGGCGTTCGAGAGCCTGGTTTACCACAATGATCGGGGGGACGCGAAGGTGGCACAGCTCTCCAAGGCTCTGTCGGCTTTTGTATTCGTGGGGCTCGTATCGTGGACATTCAACTTCATGGTGAATATTTTCAGGACGGTGGCAAGGCTAGGAACGAACGAGGGCTGAGCAGGCGCAAGTGGGCTTTTTTTCGGTTTCTGGTCTCTGGGTTGAGAGTGCAAGGATACCTCTATTGGTCTGGTGTTTTCCCCTCAGCGTTCAGCCCTGCGGGATTGAGGAGCTTGTGGTTCTCATTTCCTATTCATCGGCTCTGATGGTGCGGGACGCACACGCCGAATTTTTTATGACATGATAGGATGGCGAGACTGACTGCGAATACCTTTCACACAGCACATGATACCACAGCATATTTTTACGAGCTTGGCTCTCTTTTATTTTCGCAGGACGGCTGAATGTACACGATGCTCTTGATATGATTAAAAGTGACAGTCTGCAGCCCTATAGGAAGCACACAGCCGTTCGACATGCCACCCTGAATAGCAGGCGAAACGGCTTCTGCACAAAAGGGATGGAGGGGTTGCCAAAGCAGGTACGTACCCATCAGGTGTAGACCAGGGCGAACCTACTGCCGATGTGAGGCTCCGCTTTTCCCAAACCCACTTCCACCTCACCTCCAACCACGCCGGGCTGCACTGGGCTGGGCTGGGCTCTACTGCACAGGTAGCCTGCTCTCTGTCACGTAATACGTGACTCTCCAGATCACGCCGGATAACCCCCCTCACTTCTCTCTGACCTTCCTTCCATCGCATCTCTACTCACGACCTGCAGTGCCTTGTCCACGTTCCTGGCCATTACAGTACGAGGCGCTTCGTCTATGGTCCTGATCGTACCTGTCCCGCGAGTGCCCCTGTCGTGCTCTCCTCCGCTCGTCCCCTCTCGCACCTGCTTTCCGTTTCCAGAACGGGTCGCATGCTGCTAGACTGTTGGCGCCTCTCCTTCACGCTCTGACGCACTATATCGCAGCGCACTCTGAGACCTGTGCTGGCTCGACCGCACTTCACCTCACTCGAACGCATTACGACGCGGTCCACTACTTCGAACACCGGCTTACCTCGCCACCATCGAGGGCCCTGGCATACATAACGACCTGCATCCATCAAACCCAAGCTTCCTCTCCGACAGCTTATCCCCAGACAACTTAGACATTTTACCTCAAGAAACGCAGCGCGACTGCGTCTTGCTAGTCATCTTTCCAAACACCCTCGCGGCGCCCTGTCTTGACGATGGCGACGCCCAAGAGGACCAACTCGCCGGCGGCGATGCCTCCCGCGCCTAACCGCGAGGATGCTTTGGCGACGTACGCTTCCGCGCTCATACTGCCACGACACACAGGGCCCGGCGCTGACGTTTTACAGATGGAACTACTTGGAGGCAGGCATAGAACGCATCATGCTTCACTTGGAGTCCGGTATCGACATGCATACTGTAAGTCCAACTTGTACACCATACCATCGTTGACACAACTGCCAAATGCTCTACGTCCGACTGCTAGCTGACTTGCATGCCACTCATAGTACATGGGAGTCTACACGTATAGCCTCACCCGCACCCCCACGCCCTCGACGGTTTGCTAATATCTCGTTCGCAGCGCGGTCCATAACTTTTGTACCTCCCAGAAGGCTATTGGTCTAGGCGTCAGTGCGGCACCCTCGATCGGCAGTGGAAACCATAGGGGAGGTAAGCTGTCATGGGCTCGTCAAGCTTTCAACCTGTTCTGACCACCATGTTGCACGTAGCCCATCTTCTTGGCGAAGAGCTGTACAAAAAATTGACCGACTACCTGGTTGCCCATCTCCAGGGACTCCTTGCCGAATCTAAGACGCACACGAACGAGGCTCTTCTCGCGTTCTACATCCGAGAATGGACTCGCTATACCAACGCTGCGAAATACATTCATCATCTGTTCCGCTACCTCAACCGACACTGGGTCAAGCGAGAGATGGATGAGGGTAAGAAAAACACGTATGATGTTTACACATTGCACTTGGTACAATGGCGGGAAGAGCTGTTCAAGAAGATCTCCGACAAGGTCATGGATGCCGTACTGAAGCTGGTTGAGAAGCAGCGAAATGGCGAGACTATTGAGTTCAGCCAGATCAAGCAGGTTGTCGATTCGTACGTCTCCCTCGGCTTGGATGAGACCGACCCTACGAGATCGACGCTCGAAATCTACCGATTCCACTTCGAGAAGCCCTTCCTCGAGGCGACCGCAAAGTATTACCAGAACGAGTCAAAACACTTTGTGGCTGAGAACACGATTGTGGAATACATGAAGAAGGCCGAGGAGCGGTTGGACGAGGAAGAGGAGCGCGTGCGCATGTATCTTCACGCCGACATACTGGCGTCGCTGCGGAAGACTTGCGAGACGGCTCTCATCACGGATCACGCGTCAGTGCTTCGGGATGAATTCCAGGTTCTACTCGAGAATGACCGCGAACAAGACATGGCTAGGATGTACGGTTTGCTTCTTCGGATTCCCGAAGGCCTGGATGCCCTCCGTCAAAAGTTCGAAACCCATGTCCGTAAGGCCGGACTTGGTGCCATCCAGAAGGTGGCCTCTGAGAACACGGAGAAGCTTGAGCCCAAGGTCTACGTCGACGCTCTATTGGAGGTTCATACCCAGTACTCCGGCCTCGTTTCCCGTGCTTTCCGCGAGGAGGCCGAGTTCACGCGGTCTCTGGACAACGCCTGCAAAGAGTTCGTCAACCGCAACGAGATTTGCAAGAGCGGTTCAAACAAGTCTCCCGAACTGCTGGCCAAGTACACTGATGTACTCCTACGCAAGAGCGGGACCGGCATCGAGGAGACCGAACTGGAGAACACCTTGACACAGATCATGATTGTTTTCAAATACATTGAGGACAAGGACGTTTTCCAAAAGTTCTACTCCCGCATGCTGGCTCGTCGCCTGGTGCACAGCAACTCGTCCTCAGATGATGCCGAGACGAGTATGATCAGCAAGCTGAAAGAAGCTTGCGGCTTCGAGTACACCAACAAACTTCAGCGCATGTTCCAAGACATGCAGATCTCAAAGGATCTGAACAACAGCTACAGGGAGCACTGCAATGGCTTGGAGAATGCCAAAAATATCCTCGACTCGCAGTACTCCATTCTGGGTACTGGTTTCTGGCCACTGCAGGCTCCCAACACCAACTTCACGCCACCAGCGGAGATCAACGAGGAGACAGAGCGCTTCTCGCGCTTCTACAAGAACAAGCACGAGGGTCGTAAGCTAACATGGCTGTGGCAGCTCTGCAAGGGCGAACTGAAGGCCGGCTACTGCAAAGCAAGCAAGACGCCTTACACGTTCCAAGTGTCCATTTACCAGATGGCAGTTCTCCTCCTCTTCAATGAGAAGGACAGTCATAGTTACGATGACATTGCAGGCGCAACGCTCCTGAGCAACGAGGTGCTCGACCAGGCGCTGGCAATTCTTCTCAAGGCAAAGGTGCTCCTGATCTTCCCCGAGGGCAAGCCAGAGTCAGGCAAGGAGCTGCGGCTCAATTACGACTTCAAGAGCAAGAAGATCCGAGTCAACCTAAACCTCGGAGGTGCCAAGGAAGCGAAGCAGGAAGAGGTGGAGACAAACAAGACCATCGAGGAAGACCGCAAGCTTCTCATTCAGGTATGGATACCTTGTGACAGGATTCACGCTCCGTGACTGACAAATGTGTAGTCTGCCATTGTTCGTATTATGAAGGCAAGGAAGAAGATGAAGCATATGCAGTTGGTCAGCGAAACCATCAACCAGATCAAGACACGGTTCGTGCCCAAGGTTCCAGACATCAAGAAGTGTATCGAGATTCTTCTCGATAAGGAGTACCTCGAGCGCCTCGAGGAGGATGAGCTCGGATACCTCGCCTGAGCGGAGAGTATGGCTTGTGAATTGGACTTTGGTTGCTTGGTCTGTCCTACGGGGCAGCCGCCGGAACGTGCAGAGAGTATGATCAACAATGCCTGCCTCAGCAGCGGGCCCAGAGCGACACTTCAACAATTGGCCATGACGCATGGTGAGGTAACAACAGGTCACGGGACGGGACAGGGCGGCAAGGCTCGTGGACGGGGCGAGCTTGCTTTTGGAACACCCGAAAACGGATTCATCATGGTGTTGGGATGGATGTATGAAGCAGCCGGACCAGGGTTTATATGGCTCCCGAGGTCCGTGACTTGCCCAGGCAAGGGCAGATAGCGGTTTATCACGATTTGAGCGATGCTTGCTTCCTTCCACTGTGACATTGTAGCCCTGGGCAGCGAGATTTCTGTTGTTCCATGTGGCGAGGTCTCCGGATTGCTCTCAAATGCATGGTTCATCATCGATGCCTACTACAGGAGCTCCTCAGTCATGCCGCAGGAGCGGGCTTACTTACACAAGGCCCTGCTCCAAAAAGGCCGCCGGCAAATCAACAACCTTGGCCCTCAGGTACTCTCCCGTCAGCTTGCCGAGCGTGTCGTAGTTGGAGCACGCATTGTACCCCCTGTCCAGATGGTCGTGCAGCAAGAAATGTACGGCGTAAACGTTGGGCAGCTCGAACCGATCAATCGGCTTGCCCTTGTACTCGCTCGGCCCGAGCAGGGCCTTGATCCTGTCGACGGTCAGGAAGGACCGCAGCCAGTCCCACTGGTTGGCGTGGCGCACGAAGAAGCCGACGTTGCAGTCGGACGCCTTGTCGCCGGAGCGCGCGAGGACGATGCTGCCGAGCGGCGCGCGGACGGTGGGGCCGAAGGAGGCGAGGTCGAGAGGCGAGGGCGTCTCGTACGAGGCCTGCTGCCGAGGGTACGTCTCTGTCGTCTCGGGCGCGGACATGGCGATGGTGCGGGCGGCGGCTGCGGGCCAGAGGCAGTGGACCCTGTGGTTGAGCTCCCGCTGCGGCAGGAGGGCGACCCAGTACTCGTAGTAGGGTTTGGGGACGACCTGTCGGAGGTCGTTGGAGAGGGAGGCGCCGGGGGCGGACTGCAGGAAGACCTCGAGGACCCAGCGGTTGAACCCGTTGGGTATGTCGGGCCGCATGACCTCGGGGTCGGGCGACTGGGCGAAGATGCGGAAGTCGACGATGGAGAGGTCGAGGCTTGCCGGGTCGAGGGGGGAGGTGCCGTTCTGGTGGAACTTGAGCGTGGTGAATTTGGAAATGTTGTCGCCGATTGCGTAGCGAATCTGGTCTTCTGTGATCTTGCACTTCTCCTCCATATCCAGGCCGCAGAGGTAGATGTGCCATTCGGCCTGGAAGCCCGCCGGTGCCGTGATGCCCACCTTGGTCGTCGGTGGTGGTGGGCGTCCACGGATGCCGGTCACGCGGACGCGGTCCGCCTCGACTTGGGTCATCTGGACGTTGGAGACGTCTGCAACGACATCACAGTTGTAGTAGAGTCTATCGGGTCAGTTTAGTTGGTTTGCTCGGTCCGGATGTGGTTGGAGGGGCACATACGGGCCTTGAATCTCGTACACGAGCTGCGACAGGACTGTGCCGACATTAACGCAGCCTCCCGTGTTTTTCTCCTTCGCGATGACACACTCGCCGTTCCACTCGACTTCGGCAATGGGAAACCCCATGTTGACGTGTCGTCCGTCCTTCATGAGGTCCTTGAAGCCGCTGTAGTAGCCGCCTGTGACATAGGCCGAGCACTCGATGAGATGGCCAGCCACCAGAGCCCCTGCCAAGCAGTCGAACTGATCATCTCTCCAGCCATGCCACCATGCAGACACGCCAATGACCGGAGCGGCATCAGCTACCCTGCCACAGATGACAATGTCGGCACCCTCACTCAACGCGCGGGCGATACCGAGGCCGCCGAGATACGCTTGCGCGCAGATTGGTTCCATGCCCCATTCTTCTAGCCTCTTGCCATGCATCAGGCTCTCGAACTGCTCTCCTTCCTTGATGAGGCGGTTCACTTGGCCGGTGACGTCGTCTCCTTCGACCCAAGCAACGTTGAGGGCGAACCCAGCTTCAGTGACCATGTGTTGCACAGCCTCGGCCAAGAGCTCCGTGTCGCTGGCCCCGGCATTGACGGCGAGCTTGGTGCCGTTGGCGGCGAGGGTGACGATGGCTGGCTCGAAGCATTGGAGGAAGGTCTCGGCATACATGGCCGTCTTCATGCGGTCCTCCAGGCTGAGCTGCGCCTTGGAGCCCGCCTCGGTTGCTTGCAAGTTGCGGATCTTGCCGCTGCCGTGCACTGTCATGGTCTGTTGGCGGTTAGTCAAGCTCGCGAGGGTATGACGGCTGGGTTATTGACCATCTCAGATAGCCAGTCGCCAATGACAGCATCAACTTCCGGGTCGGCGGCCAGATCCTTGATCGCGCGGGAGCGATCTGTGAAGCCGCCGGAGCATCCCGCAATGCGGACTGCTCGCCTGCGCGCTGTAGATGAGGCCATGGTTTGCCGATTGACTGGCCAAGGGTGGTTCGAGTGAGTTCTGAAGTATGACAAGAGGTCGGTAGCTATATCTAGGCAGCTTCATACGAGGGTAGGCGCGAGGACGCAAGACTTGGGCCTGAAGAAGGGTCGAGGAGGGCCAGACGTTCGCCGCCTGGCCCATAGCCAGTGACACCTTTAAATCGCCATGGCCAAGGGCGTAAGCTCGGCCATGTCACCAATCCGGTGCGTGGTTCGACGGGTAACATCGTCCGCACACGCGACGTTGGATGTAGTGCCGTTGAAAGGGACAAGGGGGAGGGGCAGGACGTAAAGGATGCTGGCGCCGCGGGGTTGGGTCAACTGCCCCCTACCTAACGCAGTGCGGGGAAGCTCGAGTCAAGACTGATGAACTGATTGAGCTCCACTGACTCGGCGACGGAAGTTGGAGGTGACGAGACGGCTAGACAGCTTCGCTTTTGAAATCACGAGGTTTCGACGGGTTGTTACCGAGACGTTATTGTAGGCGGTGTTGTGATGACGGAAGGGTTGGTTCGTTCAAAGCGGCAACCCTAGCATATATTCGAGCTCGAACTCGTCTCGACGTGCCATGTCGCATAGCCTTCACTCAGTCGATTCCACCAGTGGCAGATGTCTCCCATTACAAGTCAAGACCACCTCAGGATCGTTCGATTCGCCTCCTGTATAGCGCATGCCGACGCCGATGCCTTCAAGACCCTCTTCCTCAGCTCTTCGGTTCCATAGCATCTGCTGCACGGCGCCGTCCTTGGTGCACGAGATGAAGCCCATCGGCCACTGGCTCCGGCCCAAAGACTCTCGCACTCCTTTCGTCGCCGTCCTCTCGCTGACCAGGAATGCCAGCACTTTGGAGCCCCGCCATCCCACAGGGGCACCAGCAAAGGACCCCTCAAGCTCGCGAATCAGCGCAGGGCCGGCCCTTTGGCTGCCGGCCTTGCACTGTAGGATGACCCTCAGGGGTTGGCTTCTCTGCTTCTCACGGAGCTCCGGTATCCTCCAGATACCCAGCAGGTCTATGCCATAGTCTGAAGCACCGCCGACTCTACGGGCTTGGACGCCATACTTGGCGAGGGTCGAAGCAACCGTGTACTCGTAGTGGGTCCCGACATACACGGTGGATGAAGTGTTCAGGCTGTTGCGCTCTGCGTAGGAAAGGAATGTCTCCAAGTCAGAGTGGTGGCTTGTCGGGGGCTCTGGGAAAACAAAGTCACCGACGGCTGGTCGCTTGGATGGCGAACATGACGAGAATGTCCGCGCCTGAAAACGCGTTTGCGCTGAAAATGATACTGAAAGTGCTTTCTGAGCGTAGGATGTAAAACAGCGTGGCATGAGCCGCAGCTGGCGCGTATTCATCGTCTTGATGAGATCCAAAGAGACGACGTAAAGTTTCTAAAGAAAATCCGGGCCACAAGCCTTGGTCGCGTCGTTCAGGTGAGTGTCTGATTCGCCTCAAGAAGCAGAATCCAGGGTCAATTCAAAGGTACTTACTAGTGGCTGTGCAAGAGATCAAGCCACAACCCACACGGGGTAGGCCTGACCGCTTCCCAGGTCGGAAAGTCATGCCGCGCTTGACCATCATCCCATTCGATAAATCAGTTTATCATGGGATGGGAACACGAAGATGAGCACCCCTGTTTAGGTGGTTCGTGAACATTTCCAGCACCCAGACGTGAGTCCTTTCCACGAAAGCATTCAGGACAACAACAATCTTTACCGAGACCGTCGAGGCCGTACAAAGGCCAGCCAGCAGCACGTCGAATGTACCGCATTGGGCCATGTTGCTTCTGAGAAGCTCATCAAGAGCACCATGCTCGCGCCAGCTGCAGCTCAGGTTGCAGCCCCATTCTGAGATTCGTGCGAGGGCATCATGTCACCAGGTCACAAGTAGCTTGCTGCGGTACTGTAGAACGCAGAAGGCCTTCCATACGCGCTCTACGCTATCGCAGCCCCATGCTCCCATACAAGACATCAGAAATATTGGCATCATTGCTCATGTCGATGCAGTAAGTGCATCATGGCTGTAGTACGCCGCTCCTCGGCCCTGACTCTGGAATATAGGGCAAAACGACAACCACGGAACGGATGCTGTACTATAGTGGTGTTACAGCACGTGTCGGCGGTACGTTGTCCACCTGGAGTTTAGGGCGTGTCCCAAGCTTTTCTCGTACGATGCTCGCCGTTCTAATGAAGTCATGGCAGATGTCGACTCTGGAAACACAGTGACTGACTTTCTCGAGCTTGAGAGAGAGCGAGGCATCACGATCCAATCGGCGGCCATCACCTTCAACTGGCCCCTGCAGGAGGTCTGCCCCCCAGGTTCTCATCCCAAGACCATCAACCTCATCGATACTCCTGGACACCAAGACTTTCGTTTCGAAGTCGATAGATGTCTGCCGGTTCTCGATGGAGCTGTCTGCATCATTGACTCGGTCAAGGGAGTCGAGGCACACACGGAGAGAGTTTGGTCCTCTGCTCAGGAGCACGCCATTCCACGCGTAGTCTACGTCAATAAACTCGACCGAGACGGCGCATCCTTCCGCAAGTCGGTGCTCGAGGTAGGCACGCGGCTCAATGGCTGGCCATTGGTCTGTCAGATCCCCTGGTGGGAAAAGGAGAACTTTGTCGGTGTCATCGATGTCGTCGATCGCGTCGGCTACCGGTGGAAAACCGAGAAGCAGAAAATCACGTATCGGGGCGAGGCCTTGGACGAGGCTCTTGCGGGCAACAAAGCCCTTCTTGACGAGGTTGAGATTGCGCGTGAGCGTCTCGTGGAGGGTTTGGCCGAGCTGGACGAACCGATAATGGACCTGTTCGCCGAGGACCCCGCAAAGATCACAAACCAGGTCCTCAAGGATGGCATCCGTCGAGCCGTACGAAGAGGTGACGGCAAGGCGATTCCCGTCTTTGCCGGGGCCAGCTTCCGACATATCGGCGTTGAACCCCTGATGGACGCCATCATCGACTACCTGCCCAGCCCCGATGAGAGGCCGGATCTGCATGTCCAGACTGGCGAGGGAAAGCATAGCCTTGCAAAGCTTCTCCATGAGCATTCGGAGAAAAGGGGGAAGCACGCCAGGATAGCGGCAGTCGCCTCCGTATTCAAGGTTTTCAACCATCCAACGGAGGGCATGCTGAGCTTCGTCCGCGTCTACCATGGCGAGCTGCACCGCAATGCGGCCCCTTGGAACACACACGCCCTCGTTTCCGAGTCGCCACTCGGTCTGCTCCAAATTTCAGCGGCCAAGACCGAGGTCGTACAACACTTGTCGACCGGCCAGATCGGGGCCATGAAGGGTCTGAAGAAGGCGCGCACGGGAGACACGTTGCTCGCTACCGTAGGGTCCAAAACGCTTCCCGAGGGCCTGAGGCACATCCAGATCCGGCCCCCCGAGATCCCCCCCGCTGTTGCGTTCCTCGCCATGGACCCCTATGGCAACGTGGCCGCGCAGGAGCTGGAGACGCTCCTCGACCAAATGTCACGCCAGGATCCAAGCCTCAGGTGGAACCGCGACGAGAAAACCGAGCAATTCATTTTGCAGGGCATGGGCAAACTGCATCTCGAAGTAGCCTTGCATCACCTGAAGCAGAATATGAAGGGCCAGGTCGACTTTGGCACCATCGAAGTCGACTACAAAGAGTGTCTGACCACGTCCACGGACCCGCACACCCTCGTCTTTGACAAGCCCGTCGCCGGCAAGGCCGGCAAAGTCACCTGTACCGCCGTGCTCGAGCCCCTCGAGGACCATCACCGCCAGTCCTCCCTCGAGCCGGACCTCGTTCGGGACGGGAACCACATCCACATCATCATTCCTCTCCCCGCCGACGGCAGCGAGCTCAGATTCGATACCCGCGAGGCCCGGCAGCAGATGGTCAACGGTGTCGTGGCCGCCATGGCGCGGGGACCCCGTCGCAGCGCCCCCGTCCAGGGATGCCACGTCACCGTGACGGTCGACACGGACCCGTCGGGCCGTGGACGGGTCCGACGGGCGGGCCACTTTA